CCACAGGGGAGGGCGGCGTTGGGCTTGGGGGGGCGCAGGGTAGGGTTTTCTAGCGCGGCCCCTTACCTCGCACATCCTCTCGCTCCTTTCGCTGCCAACGAGACGGCCACCCAGTGCGGGTTTGCTGCTGATGCAGTCCATCTGACAAAAGGGGGGAAAGGGGGGCTGGGGGATGTTGTTATGTTATACAGGAGGCCTGTACCAGGTAGAATAATGCTGTGTAACGCAAGACAATATTGCAGGGCCTGAGTGCTTGCTTTGTTTTGAGGGTTTGTAGCCTGGATTTGTCGATACGGCGGTTGGGGGATTGCACGAGATACTTGTATGGGTGCGGTGCGGAGCTCGCATGTGCACACGGAGCAAAACACACCTTTTTACGCTATAGATTTCTTCTCGCTGCGCACATGTGTGTTGACTCAGTATGTATCAAATTAATGCTTGTCATGGCGACGTCGTGCTGCGTTGGGATTTGCAGCCCATGATTGGACTGACGAGGTGGGAGCGCGGGATGCGAAGCAGAGCAGGGGCAAGCTTGTTTGTTTCCATTATTCATGATTTTATATCTATGTGTGAGATGATGTCTCTGGTCGCGTCGCAGTTTGTTCGCTGGTGGTTAGAATCGTTGTACGAGCCGTTGCATGAGCCGTTGTCAGTGCCGCTCTGAGTGTTGTTGTCATTGCCGACGGCTTTTTGGACATTAAAGATGCTGTAATCAAGTATATATTGAGCATTTCGCACCTCATTTGCAGTGCTGCTTGATGAAACACAGTTTGCCAGGCGGATGTTGTTCGATGGTGTGTCCGGACATTAGCCGCCCGTGGCTGTGCGGTCTCTTGTAAAGGAGAGGCAGCACCATACCCCAGGTCATGTCCTCAAAACATTGACACGTCTACATTCGCATCGCTCGCTTTAGTCTGTGGAGGTGCTTGTGTGGTGTGGACATGTCACCGAACGTCCATTGTCGTGCTCCATTTGAGCATGAAAGCTTTGTTTTGCGCCTCCGTCAAACCTATAGTTCTGCATCGTTCCACACGTGCGAAAGTTAACATACGGGAAGCAGAGCGCCACAGAGCATGGTTTTTAAGAACATCTCGCTTGCACGCCACGGGCCGCCAACGAATATACAATCCTAATGCATACACATGCGCACCCGCGGTCTTTGTGTGCGCACAAGAACATCTCGCTTGCACGCCATGAGCCGCCAACGAATATACAATCCTAACGCATACACATGCGCACCCGCGGTCGCTGCGTGCGCACAAGAACATCTCGCTTGCACGCCACGGGCCGCCAACGAATATACAATCCTAATGCATACACATGCGCACCCGCGGTCGCTGCGTGCGCACAAGAACATCTCGCTTGCACGCCACGGGCCGCCAACGAATATACAATTCTTAACACATGGAGAAGGCTCTGGTGTGACGTTTACAAGCTTGATGGCTGTTTTAGCATGCCGCGCGTTTGTGTGCCTCTGCACGTTGTGTTTGTGGATTTCCTGTAGTTGTCCAGTCCAACAAACAGGGGAGCCACCGGCTAAATGCTTTAAACACGACAGGGACCCTGGGGGATTCGTGTGGGCGCGAATGATGCATATGCTAATAACACTGGGGCCTCCGGGCCCATAGAGCCGTGTGGCTGTTTTTTCCTTCGGGGTGTGAACTAAGGGAGACATGGCGCTCCATCTCCATCCTTCCATCATTTCACCCTCCCTCCCTCCAACC